TTAGGATAATATATTGTCATATTGAAGCCTAAGGTCTGACTTGGCTAGTTTTCATATAAAAATTATTATTAAGTACCTACTAAAACAGTAATGGAAGAGTGAAGATGATTTTCCGAAGAATAAAATAAGAACTCAAAGCTTTAGAACTTGCGAATGCTATAATATATAATTCGTAGCCAAGTCAGACCTTAGGCTTCAATAATTATCCTAACTTGGCACCCATTTAGATCTCACTTCTTTTGTCGTTGAAGTCAATAACCATAGTATTGAACTTTGCTCTCATTTTAGGTACCTACATATATGTTTACGGTGGGATATCATTACTTTTTGTATGTAAATTATTATAACCTAACCTAGCCATGACGTATTTTATAAATAAAGTTTATTAATATAAACTATAATTCAGTTTCTAACATTAATAATATTTATTATAAAATATTTTCTGTTGTATACAGAGTATAAAATAAAAAATTATTTTTAATTATTTTAATTGTAATTTTTTTTTAAATTAATATTAATTACATACATAGAAAAAAAAGTATGTTGCTGCGGGTCGCCAATATTGACACATATTTGACTGGACGTATTTTTGGAGCTGCGATATGGGAAAGGTTAGAGGAGCTATTTAAATCAACATTACATTAAATTAGAGGCACTTAATCAATTAATTGAAAAATTAAATATAATAGATGAAATAATTGAATAATCATAATAAAATCAATTGATTAAAAAATTAAAAATTTTCAAGTTTCTTATTTTGTCCTTTGTATTAACCTATCTACCTATCTGTATGCCAAATTTGAACTTTCTAGGTCATCTGGAACAGGGTTAGAGTTTTGATCTATAGGTCTGTGAGTGATAAAAATGACGATTTTGGGACGTTAATATTTAAATAACGGTTTGAGGTGTGTTTATGAAATTTGGAGCACATATGTATCTCGTAAGTTTGAATATATGAGCTAAATTTGACATGTTTATGTGGAATATATTTTGAGTTATGAGGGGGTCAAAAGTGGCTCCAAATGGTTCGTGTAAAATGTGTAATATTACACACGGTGCTCCTCGCCAGTTCTGTTAGCTAGAACTTGGCTTGACACGCAACCGCATGTCTAGATAGGAATCTATAGGTACTTGAACATATTCTAATAAAAAGAAGATTAATAGTTAATACTTAATACTATTTAGTCAGATATATCTATAAATATAGGTTATAGTAACTGTATACAAGTTTCCAATACAAATTCTCTATATATTAAATTACTATAATATGAGCTATCTGATAAATAAAATTATTTATTGTCTCATATTTCCTTTTAAGAGTACTGAGTAGTGAGTACCTACTGGTTACTACCTGGTACCTATATACCAAACATTTTGCTATTAACATGCATGCCATATGTTCTCTTATTACATTTTATTTTTGACGTATCACTCTCTCATCTTTTATTTTATGTTTAATGTTAGTTTTCAGGGTATACACTGCAGGTATACTATAATAGTTTGAAATACAAAAAATAATATACCTACCTATAACCTAATATTAATTAATTATTTAGGGTCTAACTATACAGTATACCTACAATATTAAAATCTCACCAGTACTGCACTTTTTTTTTGGAAATTGAGTATTGTCCCATACTTTTGAAGTAAAAGCTCGCAGCTCCATTGAGGCTGATCTGTGGTATGAAATCGATACATAAAACCACTTTTGGTATCTACTGTATATTGTGTTTTTAATTTTTGTTTATAAACAAACAAAAATGGCAAATCTATATTTTTTCACAATGTAACTTGTGGTTTCTACATTTCTTCATATACATAACTATTTTTATTTCGCTGTGAAATTTTAATATATAATCAAGGTGAATCAATCCTTCTTAATTATAACACAATATAATAAGATAATACTTTCACATTTACGATTTACATATGATAAAAGTTCAATGAAAACGAGTGAAAAAGGCAAATGTAGATACTATGCCAGTTTGGAGTTTGGACAACACAACCTGGAGCAGGGAATAAAGAGAAATCTACGAGGGATGAGTCGTAATGCAAATAGCATAATCTGAATAATCTCTCATTATGTCATACCTATATATTATAACTTTAAAATACTTTTTATATTTTAATACTTTTAATCATTTATCATCGTTAATATATAAATAAATATATATTATTATTTATTACATTATCTTTCTAACCCATTCACGTTATTTCAGACGTCCCTCGGGGTGATCATCTTTCGCCAACTTTGTTTTTATTATTTATAAGTTATATTCAATCGCATTAAACGCCCGCCTTCGCAGGCTACGAACTCTACTCACAAATAATAAACACTCTAGCTTAAAAATTAAAGTTCTTATGCCTAAAACATTACTCAAACCCCTATGGACATATGGTCTCCAACTATGGGGTACAGCAAAAGTGTCCAATACCAACAAAATTCAACAATTTCAGAATATTGCTCTTAGGAAAATTACTAATGCTCCACCCTTTGTTTCAAATTACACTAATACACTATACATAATGACCTGTCAATTAAAACCGTGGCAGAAGAAGCTACACGCTTCTACAAAATATTTCATTCCAGTCTACTAACACACCAAAACCCACTCATTAAAAACCTATCCACCCGAACATTACCTGGCAACACCAAGGAGCTGGTGCCGTGACTTGTTAGGGAACTAATATGAAAGAAGAAAAAAAAATCAGTATAATATATAATATATAGTTATGAACATGTAGTTAGTTCATATCATTACTCTATGTCTCTACTCTCTATGGTTCATACAACAACCAGTCAAGTGCCACTTGTGGCCAGTAGTGGGTGGTTTCTTATCACGCATTGCATGTTTTATTAACCCTTATCAAATATGCTAATTGTGCACCATGAAGATTAGAGATATCTCTAATCTTCATGATGTGCACCATAGAGTATTACTCTATGTTGTGCACACGATTAAAGATATCTTTACCCTTTATATGTATAGATAACTAATTATTGACTAACATTATCGGACTTTATTTATGCCTAAAACCTGCTCCGTGATATCCTCTTTCATTTAAAAAAAACTGCATGACAATTGGATAAGAAGACTTATATATATATATATATAGATAAAGAATAACACAAATAAATACACTCAATTATTTTTTTATTTTTTTATTTTTTTTTGTACGATTTTTGACACAATTTATGAATGATATTACCAATTTTTACTAAGCTTGATAGATGGCGCCACTGTCGTATTCCTTCAACCCAAATTTTACCCCCATGTAGGTCGAATTTTGGACAATCCTTTCTTAGTGCGCCCCTACATTGCTTAAGGAACCTCTATATAAAATTTCAAGTCTCTAGACCCAGCGGTTTGGTCTGGGCGTTGATTCTTGGTAAAGTACACTTTCCTTTATATATATAGATGATTATAAGCTAAATAACGTTTCTATAGAATCAGTTTATTCATTTGTTGACTTAGGTATTACTTTTGACTCTAAACTAAGTTTCAACAGTCATATTGAATAAATAACAAATAAAGTATTCTTAAATTTAGGTTTCATATAATCATATCGCGTATATTATGTTCAAATTTTAACAAATACGATTCTGTGAGAATTTTTTATTTTGCGTTTGTGAAATGACAATATTAGAATAATATGTCTCTCTTATTTGGCATTATGATAAATTTTGTTCAACCCAAAAATATCGAAGCAGTCCAAAACCGTTTCCTTCGTTAACTCTCTTTCAAAATTCAAAGTAGAACAACGACATACTGTTCTTAATGGTTTATTAACTTACTTTAATCTTTAATCATTAAATAAAAGAAGAGATTACCTACACTATGTATTTTTACAAAAATTATTAAACAATACCATAGATTGTCCATACATTTTGAATTAATAACATATCTACTAGAAATCAAAATGGTTTTTTAAATAATAATATTTCTAAAAATTATTTAAGTGTGCCAACAAATATATTTATACCCATGGGAAATACTACAGAATTAAATTTATTTCAGTTATTTGCGAAGTATGATTTAAAATTATGTATTATATATATATATAAAAAATGAATTTTAATGTCTTTTACAGTTTTTAATGTAAATCTTTCACAATGTATTTATATAAAGATTATTTTGTAAATATAGGTTTTTCCGTAAATAAAGAAATAATAATAATAATTACATTTTTGTAGTATAAAAATAAAATTGTAAATTATTATAAGTACAATATTTATAAACGTTATTAATTATTTGTGTATACAGTGGTAATATAGTATATTATAGAAAATTTACAAATATTGTCGACTCGTTTATTTTTGACAGGGCTTATAAATATTTCTTGTAGACTAAGCTGTTCACAACATTGGAGTTCAGCTTCGTTTTCCTGTATAATCGACAGCAGAGGAGGTGGCTATGTGTGAACAATACTACTCCTCTGCTGTCATCGATTATTGTAGTGCAAATTGAAATACAATATAAGGAGTTGAGTTTGAATATTAATACATATTCATTGTTATAAAATGTAAAAGAATACGATAACACATTTAAAAAAATATTTGTACATGACGTATAATTTATATTATCAAAATTAATTAAATTGTTATAAACCATAAGAACCACAAATTGTATTATACATTAAAACAATGATAACAGAATATTGAAATATAACATTTTAATACACATGGATTTTTACATATATAACATAGATGTCAAAACAAATTCTAACCAATTAAGGATATCAAATTTAAATGACCCAAATAAAATATATTTTAAAAACTATGCTTTTAAAGCAGATAAATTGGAATGAACATATCAATAAATCAAATAACTATTTTTAAATAATAAATTTCAGTATTTTTTTACATTAATATAAGTAATTTTGTTACTTACAAATATATCATAATATTTACAATTTTAAATAACGTCAAACTGGTCTTAACATTTTAATGAGATTATAACATGTTTTTAATTTATTTATTTTGATATAATTAATTATAATTAATTTGATAGTCTCCTGTGGTGATTAAAATGATTATTACGTCTGTGATGATCTATTCTTTGATTGGCATCTGGATAGTCATCTTCTTCATCATCATCAATACCATGGTGAATTTGATCAATGTCTTCACCTTCATCTTCAATTTCATCATACTCATCATTGTCATTAATGAATGGTACATCACGATTGTTAGGCCTAAGTAATTGGAAGTTTTCGTTAGGATTGGCAACCCCTCTGTGAATGCCCAATCCAGGACGAGCATCATTACCATAAGGAACATTTCCATTATTGACATGCATATTATTATGATGAAATTCATTAATTGGTTCATAATCTTGTCTAAAAATAAAAAAATAAAATATTATATTATTAGTAATATTATAAATGTAAAAATGAAAAGTATAGCAAACTGTGTGGTTAGCATAAAATATTAGAGTGAATTTACCTACCATCAAACTTTAAGCTAAGAACATTACCTATGTCCTTACGTTAGCTTTTTTACAATATTTTAATTATCATACAATTTACAAGCATTTGGTAATAATTTACATGCTCATAACTTACATAAAATAGTCAACGTAGGAACAAATGTAATGTTCATAACTTAAAATTTGATAATAGTAATATAATAGATCGTTTCACTCTAATATTAAAAGTAACAACACAGGGTTGCTTCTGCTAAACGTAAATTTGCTATGCTGCGCTTGGGTCAGAGACAGAAAACAAATAGTGAGTTGCATCCTCTTAATAGTTATAGTTAACTATAATATACTTATTAATAAATAAATGAATAAATAAATGAATAAATACTAAATTAAAATCAAAATATATATATCAAGGACCATTGTAATAAATTTTGACGGTTTTTGGCCCAACGTTATTGATATTTGTAGAAAAAAAAAAACACAAAATATTGAAATTCAAAATTATCCGTAACAGCTTAGAACAAGTCAAATATTTTGAAAATTCTATCAAGTATAGGAATTGATAAAATAAACATAATATGATATAAATTTTAAGTGTCTACGATTATTTGTTTTAGATAACAACAAAATAAAAAAATCACTACTTGAGAAATCGAGAGAATATTCAATGTTGTACAAATAAAAACTTCAAACGCTCATATAAATTTAATTTGACTTTCTTATGGAGATTTTTTTTTTGACAAAAGTAGAAAACTTTTAAAGTAATCTTGTATTACATTTTAAAATCTTAGATTTAAAAAGAAAAGTTTTTATGAATTTCTAACTCAAAATAATAAATTTACACATTTTCTCAAAATCAAACTTAAATGCCTATAAAAATAAAAATTGTCACTGAATTGTTAATATTTTTTCAGCTGTCATTGTAAAAATGAACCTTGTATAAAAATGTCAAGATTTTTCTACCCAACAAATACCATTTTATTGACATTTATAGAAATAATAAGAAATAAAAAAATTGGAAACTGAAAATGTCTGTAAACCGTTAAAAAAAAATCAAAATATTCTGAAAATTGTATCCATGTATAGAAGAAATGATAATATAAACATCCAGTAAACATTTCATGTTACTACAGTCATTTGTTTTAGAGTTACACCAAAAACCAAAATTGATTTTGTGTAATAATTCCCATTTTTCCTTAAGTTTTCTTATATTTTCCCCTGTGCTTTCAAAAACTATTAGGATTTTTTTATTTTTGACCCCTCAAAGTACCAACTAGATTCACTTTTCTATCAGAAAAGATACTGTTGAAGAACATCTATACTCTGTTCAAAATAAGATCGTGACCCGGCGGCCGAGTTGTGCGCATGGGCGTGGCTTTTTTCCGTGGCTGCGCTCGACGCGTCGCTGTAGTGGGGACGGCATCTGGCCATATGTCTGACCGCCGCCCGACGAAAACTGGTCGCCGCCGGGTCACGATCTTATTTTGAACAGAGTATAAGCATTTTTATTGTCCGGTATGGCAATCACACACAAAAAAATAAATCCAAACATCATTGTAAAATCAATACATTCATAGGAGCGTATTTCAGCGGAGCGCTCAGAATATAAAAAGTAATTAAAGAAACATGAAACATACAACTGTCACTTAAATTATTATTTTCTATAAACGATTGCATTTAAAAATAATTAAGATAACATTTAAGCTATTTATAGAAATTCAATTTTTTTGAAATAGTTACTTGATCAAAAATCTCGAACATTTAAAAATAAAATTCCTCATTAGTTCCAAGTTGTTTAAACTATAACAAAATATCTCAAAATGTTAACAAAATGCAAGTTATTTTATTATTTCATTATTTTGTATTAGTTGGCACAATTTATATTTTGCAATATGATTATAAAATATATATATATACTAAGTAAACATGGCCGACTAAACGAAAATAGTATATACAATTACAAAATACAAATTACAATTTTGCCACCACTCAATTAATAATATTATCATGATTTTAAAAATACCGCCCCCATACTAAATTCTACTTTAGGGAGGTCCCTAGCTCGCTTATATCTTGAGCCGGCCCTGTAAGTAAAAATCTATTTTACTCACTCTAAAGTTTCTTCTTCGTCATCTTCATGCTCCGGACTCTCTACCATTTCAGCCAAAAATTCTCTTTGTTGCTGAATAACTGCTAGTTCTTCATCATCATATTCTTCTTCATCTTCTTCATATGGTTCTCTAAAATCTTCATCATAATGATCATTTTCATTAAATTGTCTGTTTACATCTTCATCTATACTCTCTATGCTTTCTTCCTCAGAATCTTCATTGTGGTCATCATAATACAGATGACTATTATACCTGCTGTTATTTCTATTAAGATAATTTGGAAATTTAAGAGAAGGATTGGGATTTTTTGGTTGATTTTGAGAAGTTGAAGGTTTGGGAGAATTGTGTGGTGCGTTTGGATGAAAACGATTTGGCAGGTATGATGGATTTGATGAACTCTGACGATTTGTTGAGTTTGATACATCATGAAAATGTGGTTTTGGGGTAGGAGAGGGAGTGAAATCGAGAACTGGTAACTTAAAACCCGAAGGCAAAACAGATCCTCGTTCTTTCATCCTAGCAAATATAATATCTCTTATCTCTTTTCTTTTTGCACTATCCTTAGACACGTCATCAGGATGGAACCAATTTTCCAAGTGACAAATTGGAAAAGTGTAATCTACGATCGGCTTCTAAAAATATGGTAAGATTTAGATTATTAATGGATGGTACAATAATTAACTAGTAAACTTACTTCAAAAAATAGTTTAAAATAATGAAGGGCAAAAAGGCCACAATCTACAAAATTAGGTTGCTGAGGTACTTTAATTAAAGATGCTTTAATAGTATTAGGGCTAAAGTCTTTTGTTTCGTCATTGTATTTAGAGATATATTCTTGCTCCATCCAATCACGTAGTGTGGCTGTGACTCTGGCACGATTAACACCACCAGATATAGAATCTAGTATTAAAATGCAAGGCCTAAAAAATAAGTAAACTTTAATAACTTTAACTTAAATAAGTGGTTGATATATTTACTGTTTAACTGGCGTATGTTTATTTTTTAAGTAATTTGTCACATCAGTTTCATAATCAACTCCACTTTTATCTAGATAGTTTTGCTAAAAATATTAACACAAAAAATGAAAACAAACAAGTGTAAATATATAGAAAACTAAATCACAATACAAATTACTAATGTTGACTTAAAATATCATATTGATATTTTGAATTATCTGAATAAATTATAAAAAAATCTTACAGTTGAATTCACATCAAATAACCAAAGATCTTCAATGTTAGGATCAGCTTCAGTACGTTCGGGATTTTTTGCTTCAATTGGTGGCAGTTCATATCGTCCTACAATTTATTTGGTGTAAACAATTATTATTGTGTCTACTACCACAAGTTCAAAATATTGTTATTTTAGTATATGACACGATTAAAGATATACAGGTTGCACATCGACTACTGATAAGGTGAAATACGAAATGACTACCAATAATTAACCAGTGGCGCTCCAAGCGGCAGTATTACAATTAACCAATTATAGATATATAGGTGTAAAATTAGTTCTAAATGTCGACACATATGGTTGAGTGTTGACATTAAGCGCCACTAGTTAATTATTAACAGCTGATTTTTATAGTCACTTTGTAAATCAGTCTGGAAGCGGTTTACTATAGGGCGATGTGCAACCTGTATATCTTTAATCGTGGTATGTGATCACAATAATTATGTAGATATTTTAAGAAAAGTTGATACGATAACACTAAGATTATTTATATGTATTCAGTATCATATCTTTTAATTTGATCTCCTAATTATTATAAAATTAATTATAACGAAAATTAAATAAAACAGTATTTTTGAAGGTTTGACATATTATTATGCTGTCTAAATAGGTTTAAAAAAAAAATGAATATCTAATTAAATTTACAAAAATAATTTTTTTTTTTTTTTAATTGAGTATAATATAGTAAATAATAAATCAAATACAAACACAGACCATCAACAATATTATTCTTTATAATTTTTATAATGGGTGATATTACTCAAATACCTACTCAAAAACCATAAAAAAAAAACATTTTATGTGAATGCCTTTTCTTTTATGTTTCGCATGGTTAAAAGAAAAGAAATAGCGCGCTAAAATCATCTTAAATAGTATAAAATTTGGGTTTTGTAATTTTGAGCATAATATTGTAATAAGTTATTATTTAATTTTGCCATACATATATATTTAAATTTTTTATATTTACCAGTAAGATCATCAGGTGTGTTTACTGGTGTGCCATCTTTCATGCTGATCTTACCTGATAGGTGAGGATAACATATAACCGCCATATACCAATGAGCACTAAAAAAATATTAATTTAATAATAATTGAAGTTTTATATTGAATAATTAAAGTTATTTTAATACTTACCTTTCATTTATTGGTATAAAAATGAAATCTTTTTCAAATATTTTAACATTTTTAGTCCATTTTTTTACCCTTTGGTGTCTAATCTTTGATAGTGATAAGGATGAATTATAGTCAGCTATATTAATAGGTTTTGATAATGCGGTATAAAAGTATGTACTGAAGATACTTGAACGTTTTCTATCTGCTTCACTTAATTCATAAGTATACACATAACTAAAATGCAAATAATATTTTTCATAACATTACTTATAATTATTAGTTAATATTAATTTTAATTAAAATCAATTACTCCATATAAAATTCAATAAGAATATCATTCAAAAATTCACTTGAGCTCAACATTTTATAGTCCAATACTTTGATTGTATGGGTACTCTCAGTTAATTTATCTATCAATAACCTAGAAAAGAATATAATAAATTATAAACAAAATTTGTCATGTGTAACAGATTTACAACTTACACAATAGCCGAATCAGCGGCATCCTGTTCTACTTTTGCACATCTTTTGATCTAAAAATATAATTTTAAGTATTCCCGCTTAATATGATATTTTGGCCATTTATAGTTAATTAAAAATTATTAAATTAGTTAAATGTAGTTGTCAAATTTTATAAATATACATCAAAATGAATTATATGCAAATATTTTTATGTATGCAAATATATAATATTAATTATATGCAAAATAAATATTACATTTTAAGTTTTAAGAAGACCTAACATAAACGTATCTGTTTTTCTAAAATCTTACAAAAGTACAACCATTGAATAAATACTGTATAGAGAAACGATGTACTATAAAAATTTAATAGGCTCAATAATATGTCAATTTACTTTAATATATAAAAAAAACAAAATAACTAAAAAAATAAAATAAATTTTAAAATGATCAGAACTTGCTTCAATATTAATTCACAACTTAATTAATTGTTTTGTCTATTAATTGGTCTCCAAGTTATTTGCATTTTTTTTTCATATCTTAAAACATCTCAAGTAAGATATACATTTGTTTTGTACTTCCCTAGCACAACATTATGGGATTATAGCTATTTTATTAGTTTAGAATTTAAGTGCTATTTTTGATACATATTGTCATGTATAAGTAGAAATAAACACACTATATTGAATTGTTTTTTATTGGCTAAATAATATGAATGTTAAAAATTAAAATTGGAACATTGGAAATTTATCAAATCAGAAAAAAAACGTAAAAAACTAAATTTTTATATTTAAAAAAATTTATATAGATGTTTTTTACATAATATTTTCCTTTTTTTTAGTGCTGTATAAAGTGGATAATTTAGTGTTTTTACTTTAAGTTTAAATTTTAAGCACTACATAAAAGATTTTTGAGTGCAATAACTCCTGAGCACAGTCATAAAGTCTTATAATCTGTTAACCATTCAATGTGGTGTACATTTATTTTAGCATTATTAATTAATACAGTATTAAACAGGTATATGCCTGTCCAGCTAAAAGCATCAATGTTTTAAAATTATAATATTAGCATATTAAAATATGAAAATATCATTCTTTAAAAATAATCTCCTATAAAGACTAATTCTTGCTAGCCTAAGGTTTAATCAAAATTATAACCCAGGACACTGAATTAGTTCCTTTCCCCACACAACAGTACAGAAAATAAAAAAGCTATTTCAGTGGTTTGATATAAGATTTTCACAAAATAAAAGTTGATGAATTTATTAGATTAAAATACAGCTACTTATACTATACTGTTGATTAATGTTCATATGATTTGTTAATAATAATTATGCCGCCATGCAAACTGAAAATTTACTCAAACATACAATGCATTGAGCATAACAATTATTGTTGTTTTTCTATGTTTATAATGAAAGGAAATTAATTTTGTATATCATTAATAAAATAACATATTTTTGAAGCCATACTATATATATATGTATATAAAAGAATTACAACTACATCAAAAATAAGTATCATTAATCATCAAATATTTTCATAAAAACAATATAAATCTATAGATGTATATACAATATTTATGAATCAAAACAATTTATTGTTATCGATTACTTTAGAAAAATATAAATACATATTTAACACTAAACACAAAAATGTGATAATTATATTTGTCAAAAAAGTAATAAAATCAAGAAAGTATTCATGCCAATCCAGACTTGACAAAAGTTTTTGAATAAAAATCAACATACAGTTGTATAGTAAAATCAATAATAATATACTTTATCAATAGAAAAAATGCCAGATTTCATTTTATTAATGAACTTTTATTGAACACTTTCCAAAAAACCTTAAAATATACCTAAATATTATAATTTCTTCAAATAACATGTTGCTAAATACATGTATATAATGATTATTAATCATCTATTGGTTGACCAGTTCACCATTTCCAGATTAAAATTTAATTAAAGTTAACAATATATAGATACCAAGTACATATATAATATAAAATAAAGGTACCTATGTGCAAAAAAAAAAACTAAAAGTTTTTAAATTGTAGCTTTTAGTTTTATTATTAATTAAAAAAAATAGAACACAAGTAATTTTAATTTACATTTCAGTCTATAATAAAAAAAAAAATTAAAACATACCTCTTCATCATCCTTTTTATGTAAGCTAAGTATTTTGTGGGCTTGATTTACGGTCAAGGGTCCATACTTTTTTTTAGGTAATTTCTTCAGTAATTTTTCCAAATGTGCTAACTCATTTTTTTTTAAATTAAAATACAAAACTATTTTATTTAGCACTGCATCTAAAACAACATTTGAAAAAATATTAATTATAGAAAATAAAAAGAAAAAATTCATTCTAACCTTTACTAAACGGATCATAGAAGTATTTTTTGTTATCTTGGTTCATATTTAATAAATACTGAATACCGACGGCAGCTAAATGGTCAGTATAAATTATAATTAAAGGCTTTTCTCCATAAAAACCCAAAATTTTCACAACATTGTCCATTTGTAAATCAATAGTCACTGTCTCACATTCTAATAAAACACAAAAATATATATTTCTGAAGTACAATTTTTCTTTTAATTTTTTAAGATTTAGAAGTGGTTGAGATCACCTTTAACTAGATCTACACCTATAGTTAATTAGGTACTTAATCAATGATTTAACTTTTTTTCATAAAATACTAATTATTAATTTAAAATTAAAAAAAAGTGGGCGAGTGGGTGTTAATCTGCCGTACAGTAGGTTACAATGGGACACTGTAAAGGATTGTGTTCAATTGGAATTCATTGATAATATCAAGGTAATATCATTGTAGAAGAAAAATGATTTTGAACGAAAACGGTCAGTCAGCCGATGATGTTACTAAGTATATTTGATATTATTGTGAATCAAGTAATTTATATATAACCTATTTACGTGGAACTTTGTTTTATATTTTCCATCCTTAGCTATAAAAGTTGAACATTTTATAAATTTTTAACTACAAATAATTTTTGAATTTTACGCTTTGTTCATCGCTATAGAAACAAATAAAAATAACAATTTTGGTTATTTTGTTGTAATTTATAATATTAATTCAACTTACAGACTATAATAAAATATAATAACAATATAAAATATCTAGACTGACAAACCGTCTCCGCTCAAAATTGTTTTTTGTATACAATGATATGATATCATTGAATTCAAATTTAATACAATCCATTAAACAGTAACCCATTTAAGTAACCTTTGTAACATACTGTACAACAGAGTGACATCCACTTACCAGCTATTTATAATTATTTTATGTTCAAATTTGGAGGAAATTAAATATTATTAATTTAATTTACCGGCTACAGTATTAATATTAACAATATAAATATAATATAAAATATTCACACTCAGAATTGTTTTTTGTATATTATAATGAATAATGATATATCATTGAATTTAAATTTAATACCATCCATCATACAGTGATCCACTTGTAACTTACTGTACAGCAGAGCAACATTCACTTACTCACCTTTTAGATTCTGAGGGGAGCAAGGAAGCTAATGGTTTTACAATAGCGTTTATTTTATATTTTAGCCTGTACACAAAATTTCTAACAAAAGGAGTTCTTCGATTTCAACATATAGTTAAAGAATTTCATCTTTTAGAAAATTGAATGAAGATGGTACCTTAGAAAGATAATTTTACAATTTTCTCTATAGTTTTTTCTATGCCACGGGAAAAACCACCGAAAAATTACGAAAAACCGCTAAAAACGGGATTTTAATTTCAAACACTTTGTTTATCACCATAGAAACGAATAAAAAATTATAATATTTTAATATTAATTCAACTTACGAGCTATAATAAATAATAACAATATAAAAAATATCCAGACTGACCAACAGTCTCCGCTCAGAATTGTTTTTTTGTATACAATGATATTATATGATCGAATTCAAGTTAAATACAATCCATTATACATTGACTCATTTGGCCACTTGTAACCTACTGTACAGCAGAGCGCATCCACTTACCTGCTTTTTATTTAATTTAAAACTTATTAATCTTTTTTTTTTTAATATATATATTTATTATTTTCATTGACTTATAATCTATACATTTTGTATAATAACTAATAAGAAATAATTATAAAAGAAAGGGAGAACTAACATTACAATGACAATGGATGAAACTAAATTATACATTAGACACAATTAAAGCTTATTAATCTTTAGCTATAAAAATGGTACTTGTGCTATTGTACCCCAGAAAAAAAGTATTTTAGGAATTTAGTATATTATTATGCACAGCCGTTTGACAGGTCCTACATACAATAAAACCTTTTTATTACAGATCCTTTACAAGACTGAATTTTTCTTATAACAGAAAATAACAACACCCCCTATATACTTCGGGTAGGGACATGGGTCTAACCCTGCTAATTAAGCTATAACAAGTAGGGGTTCTTATACCTACAGACTTCCGTCACAGCTCACTAAAGGGAGTACTAAACAATTAGATGAGCAAAATAAGATATGGTAAAAGATTATAAAAGTGTATTATTATTAGATACTAAACAAACAATAAAATAAGGTATTTTTAAAGATTTTTTCTGGGGTATGATAACATAACGAAAGTACCCTAAAAATGAAAGCAATCAATAGTTATTAATAACTAATTTAGTATCAACTCACCAGGATTACGTATCACCATACGTATTCCATGCAGGCATACGAACATATCACCACAACGTGCTGGAACCGTTTCAAAACTACCAATGTGTACAGAGTGACACTCATCAATTTTAAAATAATCTGTCATCTTAAAGTCTTTCTGCCATAATTTATCTTCCAAATGTTTAGGATTTACTAAAAAAAGTAGATTTATTATTATAGGTACATTATTGTACATATTAAATGTATATAAAAACCATACAAGTTAATTTGCCTATATATTTATTTAAAGCTTCGGTTGTCTCTACTTTAGTAATAATAGGTTCTAAAGTATTATCATCATCTTCGTCTCCGGATGATACAAGCAGCACAACTGATGGGTCAATTACGGAACTTGAAGGGACATCAATAGGCTTTGTAGGGGTAATAATAGGAACCTCAGGAGCTATAATTGCTGAAGTACCTAATAGTAATAATAAATTAATTGTTAAATAGTTTTAAATCTCTAGGAAATTAACTTACTTGGTGTTGCAACCCTTGTGAATGTAACACATGTTAAATGAGAAGAAATACGACAAGGCTCACAAGATCCATCCTCTGATATACCAACAGCTTTGCACTTAATACACATTTTTACATCTTTAACTGATGACTGATATGTAACTATTGGTTTCACCGTCTGCTGTTACATAATTAATTAATTACCAATAAACATTTGATAAAAAAAAAATTTAAAAATAGACTTATACATACATTAACCACTTTTTTAGCAATTGATATAGGGTGTTTGGGTGACAAGGGAAGCGGTTTACTATTGACTTTCTGTTTATTTGATGTTTGAATCTGTTTTGTTGTAGCCAGATGTTTTAGAGAAGTATTATTAGTTGGATTATTAGATACATGTTTTATATTAGTTTGCTTAATTGTAGGATGTTGCATTTTTGAAGAGATAGTTGATGAAACAGATTGTTGTTTAGTGATATTTGATATTTGTGTTGTTTGTTTAGATGGTTGTGGGTAGGTGATTGTATGTCTCTGTGATTTATTAATACTGACTTGATGGATGATTTTTTGAGTTGGAACTGATAAAATAAATTAATTTGATCATACAATTTAATATTAAATCAACAAAATCATACATATGGTTATAAATGTTGTAACTTACATATTATTGTGACTAACTGGGCTTGTTGTAGAACTAGTTGAGGTGACATTTTTTGTTTCAGAAGACCTAAACAATAATAATTAAATAAAAATAACGGGAAATATTTTATGAATACAAAAAAAATAAATATATTACCAATCAAGTTTAGGGGATTGTAAGACATCTGAATTTGTTTTAAGTTTCTAATTCTTCTCTAGTAACGGTCTATAACAAAAATAAAAAGATAAATACACTATTTTAACTGATAAAAACGCTGATTGTCATGGCCACATTACAATGACACTGGCCTTATTTGCTCCAACTATTAGCATGAGAATACAATGCACCACACTAATTTAGTGTGTCAAAAAATCTAAATGCTAAGTGGATTTCAATTTAGTATCACAAAAAAATCAAGAATGTTAAGAACTTTAATGATTTGTTGTCAACCAAATAGTATCTAAAAATACATATAATTTAAATACTAAAAATGTATTTGGTAATCCCTATTCACAATCTCTTTAAATTTAATAAATAATGTATGCACAGTTATATATTCTATACACTAACCTTTTTCATGACCATGCCCACGGCAAAGAGAATTTCATCCATCAGCTCAGGTCTTGTAATCTCAAACATTTCATTTTTAGTCTGTATTCGAAGCATTGCCCTGTACAACCAAATTAAAGATAATGTATAAAATAATTCAATTATAAGTATACATTTTACTGTAATATATTCAAAATATCTATACTCTATTCAAGGTAAAAAACACAGTCGGCGGCAACCAGTTAACTAACTATACATTTTCTGTGTAGTACAGCCACAAAAGTCGGACAAGCGCATACACTCAGTATAAATATGAAAATACATACAATTCCAGTCAGGAACTTAATTAAGGGGGGGGGGGGGTGATAGATCCCTCCCCCCAGAGCCTTCATGATATTATATATTATATACTCACCCAAGTACTTGAAAACTTAATATTTTGTGTGTAAAAAAATGTATATCCCCCCCAGGACAAATTCCTAATTACGCCACTGATTCCAGTTCCCGGTTATAATTATTTAAGCTCGGTTTGTTTTAAATAACCCCACAAGTTAGTCTGACCAGTCATTCTTACTGAGACCTTCCCATCAACAAAGGCCGTAATTGAGCGATTCAAAAATGGTAGAACATAAGATTAGTAATAATACTTGGTAATATATTTTTACGTCCTGTTTCACATAAAATAGAATAAATATTGGTTTAAAACCAAAGATACTGTGTGTATCCTAAAGAGGATGTAGTACCTGCAGTATCCGGCTATGTTGACTCCATCTAACTAACACATAACAAGTTTTACGTTAAAATATTATTTAGGGTGCATCATGGTTATTTTTTTGTTATTTTCATTTTTAAAACAAGTGTAACATTTTAAAATGGTAAATTGTTGAAATTGAACAATACTCATAACTTGTTTCAAGATTAAAATATTCATACAAAGCTTTCTTCTGGGGTTCTAAATAATATTCTTACTTCAATTTATAATAGATAAACTACCATTATAAAATGATCAAGTTCAAAAGATTATTCTGAATGTAAAATTTGATATATTGTAAGTACGACAGAAACAACCACATGCGGGTACGAAATATATTCTCTAACTTACACATACTTATGCTGGGTCGCAACGTTTGTTAAATGTTTGATAAATCAATAGTGTTCATTAAACATGATTTAGTAGCCTTTGAATGGTTCATTCAATAGTAGAAACTATTTAATTAATACATTTTTTTTTTGCAACAAAGCATTATAGTGTGTATTATAAACTGGTTAATTAACTTTTACTGCATGCAATATAAATGTAAAAAAAAATTACTGGTTTGAGTGTGAGAATCCACTTTTATTGCCTATATCATCAAACTTGAACTGATTGTCGGTCATAAAGAAATACTTCTTTAAAATTCCATCGTCGTTTTTATTAATATTTAAACTTGGAGAATCCTCCTTACAATTCAATTCTGGTTTTGATAGTTGTTGTTAAATCCTTTAGAGAAGAGATGATTTCGGGAGATGATCGGATAACAGCGTTTGACGTTGAAGGGATTAATGTAGCTGCATTAATACTAGAAACTATTGTATCCTTTTCTTTATTGGATGATTTACAACCGGGTTTGATATAATAGGCTTGTAATCTTACTAGCTTTGGCAGTTTAGTAATAGAGATTCTAGGCTTTTTACTTGCCCTAAAAATAAACACAAATAATAATTCATAAATATTATTGATTTGTAAAATAAATTAATTGTAGTTTTATTTTAAAAATACCGATTAGAAATTGGATATGAGGCAGTTCTTTTATTACTTTTTTGAGTTTCTTTACTATTTGGCGCCTAAAAAAATAAATATAATGAAAAGTTAACACTAAGTCAAATTTTTTTAAAAATAATAATTTCATGTATTTATTATAATTTTGTAAGAGTAATGAAAAAACTCACCGATTTGTCTTGCTCACAAGACACAGGTACAATTGAAACCGGAGGTGAACACTCAGCTGGCACAGCTAAATTAAAAATGGTCACAAATATTAAATTATAGTTTTCGAAAGATTATCTTTTAATTATAATAAAATATTATCATACTCCATGGTCGGCTGGTTATTGCAGGTTGTTTCACTAACGGTGAACTAGGAGTAATTGATATATTCGGGTTATTAAAAATCTGATGCATAGGCATAATGACAGATCCGATAGATCTAGTAAAAACACATTTAAAACAAAAATAAATAAACAGAAATAAAGCAAAAATGAATAAGATGTAAGCCAATAGTAACTCATGCTAGAAATACATTTGAAAATAATAAATATCAAATTTTATAGCACAATTCTATTTGACAAAGTCTCATGGGCAAAAATTCTTATCATAGAGAATTTTGTTAAATAGAATAGAATAAATGTTGTTCTAATTTGGTTTGGTTCTCAAAAATAAATCATTAAACAAATCATTTTGTTAAATGTAAGTTCAATATAGGAAGTTTCATTGTATTACATAGGTAATAATTTAAAGTTAACTATTTTATTAGCATGGGGATTAGTATATCAAGTTAAATCAAGTTCCAGAAACAACTATCAATCATAAAATAACATTAAGATAAGTAGATATAAGCACACCGTTTGTTTTCTCTCTCTCACCCATCAGAAACATAGACAAATGCATTTACGCAGTATGAGTAGAACTCACACACAGAAATATTCTCATATTTCAATTTATAATAGGTATTTTATTCTAAACCAAAAATAAATTAGTTCTACTCAGCCTGTACAAACACGTTTTGTCTATATTACGGTTGAGAGAGAGAAAAGAAACAGTGCGCTGACATCCTCTTAACCATTTTACTAAAACAATCAATAAATATATTTAAATAATGTAGGTATGTCCATGATTTCAGGAGAGTGTCATATGTGTGAAATCATTACAGTATTATATTAAATTAATTTATTATTATAATATATTAATAATATAACAATAATAATATATTGTTTACAAACAATATAAGCATAATTTCCGAAAGATCCTTAAATGTCATAGGTACATTTTATTTGTTTCAAAGATATATTTTTGTTGTAAAAATTGAATGCCAGTAAAAAATAGTCCCAAAACACCTCGCAAAAATTCCTTAAACTAAATATTATAATGTAGGTAATATTTTAAGTTTTTAGCTTTTGTAAGATAGGTCGATATAATAATTTATATTCTAAATTACACATACAAAATAGTGACAAGCCGTCATAATACTAACATGATTACATATAATATAAAAATAACAAACTAGTACCTACCCAATTTTCAATACATGGTGTAATAATCATATTAGTATACTCTTTCTTTATTGGGCCTTATTAGTCTGACTATATGTTTGTAGATATTTTTTAATAGATTTTTAAATAGATTTTGTATAGATTTATTTTCTCTCAAAACTCAGAATATATAAACTAGATTCATCAAAATTATAAGGAAGTGTCAATTTCAGGATTCACAGTAATTTAACAAGGAATACTGAACAGTTTTTTTTCTCTTTTGCTTTCCAAAAACTAGCAACTACATTGTTCTCTTAATTTCACATTTTCACATATGATATTATATTGGTATCATCAATTATGGTAAATGGACGTTTTGTCATCGTTAATTAATTTTGGCCCCTGCGAGTTATAAGACATTATTTAGTCATAGGATGTTTGTTTCCCCTGGTATTTTAAATCAATAAATTTAAAAATTAAATTTGACTGATGGAAATTGTGTGTAGATAATATATTATATTAAAATAAATTAAAATTTTAAATAAAAAAAAGTAAATATTAAATTTTATACAATACAATTCCGTTTAGTTCAAAATTTAGTGATTTTAAATACCGGTGGACCAAACGTTGAAACGTCTTATCTTAATAATTTACAGGGAAAAAACACTCACGGTCCATCAATTACATAGTCAACATTTAACTTTAACAGACAGTATTTTATTAAGATCTAATAGGTTCTGCAAAGGTGGTCAAATGATTTTGTCAAGGTAGGGAATTTGTCTGATTTTTTAGCATGCACTAGGTATTTGATTATTAAAACATAATTTATGGTTATCAGATCTTAAACATTGAAAAAAAATAGGTCATGGGGGGATCTGTAGTTCTAATTTATTTAATTTACTATTTAAGTATCCGTGTAGATTAGACTATGTTATATTATGAAAATTTGATTATTACATGATATAAAAGTAGGTATTTCAAATATTATACTTAATTCCTATAAACTAAGTTTTTATGAAAACAAAATACAAAGAAATAAGTTTACTTTGTTTTCATTTGATTGGTTGGCATGATTTTTTTAATAACATTTAGAGCGTGAACACACGGTCCAGTTACAGCTGCAACAGTTATAAACCGTCCAGTTTGACCGCAACATTCTACGATTTATGACAGCCGCAGCGGTTATTTTAGGATAGTGTGATCGGTCGAATTCAAAGTAATGTATTTCGATCAAACTGGACCATTTTTACAGCTGAGGTTGTAATTCTGTGAGAAACCTTTAAAACAAGATACCTTACCTACACAATGTCTATACCGTGTGTTCAATTTTAAAGGTAACAGGAAATATTTCGATCGTTTGGCCTTGAATTTGATTCGGGTTTTTTATACTGCATATAGGACTTATAAATACATATTTTTTTTTAATAAATTCAATTTTTTTTTTTTTTATCATGCGCAGTAAAATAAAAATTTCTTAAATAGCAACCACTATTTTGGAGACCGGATTTCGATTTCTTTATTTTTTCTGAACAACTTTGATCTTTACAGTTTGTTGATATCTTCAAAATTGCCATGTTTATGACGGTCGGAAGTTTTAAAATAGTTAATTCGTAAATAATTGTGTGGTGGATGATATCTCTCGGGATATCGTTCAGCATAAAGTGCCGCTGCGTTACGCGAATTTTGATGACATTCTCCAAAAATTAATACCATATCGGTTTTTTCGGAATAGTTTGCCATTGTACAGAAAATAATGTGTCACGCGCGACTTACGAAAAACGTTTGACTATTCACAATCAATTTTAGAATGCTATCAAAATATCTTATTCACCCAGGTTAATAGTTTAACTTTCCTTTTAATACTATTAAAAACAAATTAAGATAATAGTAGTAGATAATTTAGTAGTTTTAATAAAAATAAATTGTTATAATAATACCTATAAATTAAGATAGACCGTTGAAAAATGCAATATTTACAAATTAACTATTTTAAAACTTCCGACCGTCATAAACATGGCAATTTTGAAGATATCAACAAACTGTAAAAATCAAAGTTGTTCAAAAAAATAAAAGAAATCGAAATCCGGTCTCCAAAATAGTGGTTGCTATTTAAAAACAAATTTTTATTTGTACGGCTCATGCGCTGATAACAAAAATTAAAAATTTGAATTCATTAAAAAAATATGTATTTATAAGTCCTAAATGCAGTATAAAAACCCCGATTCAAATTCAATGTCACACGATCGAAATATTTCCTGTTACCTTTAAAATTGAACACACGGTATAAGTAGGAGGGGGTGGTTGGCCAAAAATTATTAAATAATAACAAAATAGGTACTCATTTAAAATTTGTCATCAATTAATCAAGGAACTAATATATGTACTATACCTGGTATTTTCATATTTTTAGTAAGAAAATAATAACAAATTAAACTAAAAATGTGTTATATACCAACAAGGTTTTAGAAAAATATTTTGGCTTATTTCAGTGAACAACAAATCATCATATTTTACATTAAAACATTACATTTGATCAATATGCATCATTCGTGTAACAATAAGAAGGGCTTAAAAGGTAATTTAACATTTTTTTTTTTCAAAGTCGATCCTTCTATTAGAATGTATTTTACATTTAGTAACCACCTAATAAATCAAAGTGACAACATTTATATCTGTATGGCTCATTACAATTCAAAAATGTATTCACAGTTGTAGATCTTTAACAAATCAAGTTTGGCCACCTCTTCTACCTATATAGGTACAAATAAAAAACTAAAACTTTTGCACCTACCTATGTAGATTTTTAATTTTCATTGCATATGTACCTACCTATTTAACAATTGGCATTTTAAAAATGTATGAGTTGTGTAGGTTCTTTAAAATCAGTAACCAATAATAATAATTTAAGACTAATTTATAATTATATGGATAATAAAGACATTTAAAATTGTCAATGCAAGTAGGAGATTATGTAATTTTATATTTCATTTATCATAAAATAAAGAAAACACTAAGCAGTTTTTATCTTATTTTTAAGTATTATTAAAATTTAATACAAATTAATGATACTTTGTAAATAATTATAAGAAACAACAAAATACCTAGGTGAAACTAAAATTGCTGGAAAATAAAATATTTTAAAAAGCATAGGTAAGTTAAAATATGGGTACTTGACAGTACTACTTACTTTTTGTTGATAGGATCCATAGTATCCTTAAGTTTATATTTTGTGTATTCAGAAGGATCAGCACCTGGCGGTACACCGGAAAATTTCTCCCGTATCTTTTTAAAATTTCCTTTAATTGGAATAGGAAATGACTTAATTAGTTGATAGATATCGCACTTTGTCGGTGGATTCGACTCTTCGCTCTGTGGTTTCGACTCTAAGCTCTGAGGATTCGACTCTTCGCTCTGTGGATTCGAATCTTCACTCTGTGGATTCGACTCTAAGCTTTGAGGATTAGACTCTAAGCTCTGTGGATTTGACTGTACGCTCTGTGGATTCGAATCGCCACCTCCGATCAGGCCCACCGTGAACATGGTAAATAATTGTTACCAAATTTGTTGATAGCACTTTTGACAACTGGAAATAAGCAAAATAAATACCACGCATGAGTCACGACACAACAACAATAAGTAACAACGGGAACAGGAGCAAAAGCAATAACAAAGTGTATACTATCACGAAGAGGTTTGCAGCGGGCTTGTTTACCTTTAATATCAAGTATGGTGCTGCTCATATTACGATTTGACGCATGTCCGAACACGACGGACGATTCACATAATTAAGGAAGCATTCTACGCGATGTAATCACACGTCGGAGATTCGAAAGAGGGAATTCTGCGGACAACGGCTAATGCGTACGCGGTGATCAGCATCGGCTGCTGTTGAAATGTGCGAGTGTTCCTACAACAATCAGGGTACCGTGGAGGGGATCGAAAATACGAAGGTGAGGGCACAAGCAGCGACTGAAGGAAACGCGTTTATCAGCGGTCGTCAAGTACCAAAATGCAATGAAATTATTAAGCTTATGGCAACGGCGGCAGGGGCGTACAATGGTGGACGACTGCGAATTGTATACCGACAACAACCGACAGAGCGACAACAGTGTGTTTCTGCGCCAGTGTCGACTGGCGGCGAACGCGAACGGCGCCGAATCTGTTTTTTTTTTGGTTAGGGGGGCGGCCCCTAAGTACCATGTGGAGGTAAAACTAGCGAGTCTGTTATCTGTTATTACGCCGTGTAAGAAAGAAGCGCGGACGTTGGTGGCACTACGAACGCGCCAACAAAAACACGGTTTGGTATATTTGTCACCGTACCACCACGGGTTTTATTTTAAACCGTGAGTACCACAAACAACACTACCAATGATACATTATTGTTAATTATTATTAATTAATATATTAATTGTTAATCTCTTATCCGATTACTAATTTTTGTGTTTTTGTTTTAGATTCTGAGTGGAGCGATGAATGTATTGATTTTACAATGTGTTTTTTTTTATCGGTTTTCGACAAAATCGATTTTGGTTATTGGTGTTACTCTAAAACAAACGACTTATATACATGTCATTTTCACTGGTTGTTTATATTTTGTTTAAGGATAATTTAAGTTTCCAATTGTATAAGTTTTTTTTTCTATGAATGTCAATAAAATTTTATTTGTTGGATAAAAAAGATTGAAAATTGAATACAAGGCTTCTACTATATATATTATTGTTACAATGACATTTGAAAAATATTAAAAATCCAGCCACAATTTTTTTTTATAAAAATTTAAAGTTCAAACATTGACTAAAGGTATAAAAATCACGAAAATGTGCAAATTATTTTGGGTTAGAAATTAATAAATATTTTTCTTTTTAAATCTAAGATTTGAAAATGTAATACAACATTCCTCATAAGTTTGTCTACCTTTATAAAAAAAAAATATCAACAAGTCTAATTAAAGTTTTATGAGTGTTTTAAGTTTGTATTTCTACAATTTATATTTATTCGATTTCTCATGTAGCAATTTCTTTATTTTGTTGTAATTTAAAAACAAATAATTGTACACGTGAAAATCTTACTGAATGTTTATATTCCCATTTTCTATACACCAAACATTTTTGAAAATATTTTGACTTGTTTTGAACTGTTTACGAACAATTATTTTCTATAAATATCAATAAAATTTGTTGGATCAAAAAGTGTAAAAAATTAATACAAGGCTCCTGATATTATATTATTACAATAGCAGATGAAAAATATTAAAAATACGTAGGCACGTTTTTTTTATTATAATCAAAGTTTAAATTTTGACGTAATTTATCTAATCGAAATTTTACAAATTATTTAGTAGTTAAAAATGTATAAAATATTTTTTAAACTTTAATAGCTAAGGATTACAATTTTAAGCAAAGTTTCAAGTAAATACTAAATAGGTTAAATATAAATTATTTAATATACATTGATATCATCAAATATACTTAGTAATATCATAGGCTGACTGACAGTCTCTTATCATTCAATTCAAATTTAATATAATCCATTACAGTAGTCAGTAACCCACTTGTAACCTACTGTACAGCATAGCAACACCCACTTGCCCACTTTTTTTTTTTAAATTTATTATATTTTTTAATGTGTCAATATATTACATGTTATTACAAGTTTTTTTTATACAATTAAGAATTTATTTATTTAATATGGTATGGGTGAACAGAAGATAATATGATGCGTGAGTTAATTAATTATGGAGTGGAAGTGATTATGGTGAGTGAGGTTTTGCTTATTAGGGACATTAGAGCAGTTAGGAGGAAGTTTAATTCATTTTAACTTATTGATTAGTTGAGAGCCTTAATGATTATTGATTTGTATAAATTCAAAGTTACCTACTCCACTAAAATAAAATTAACATAACTGAAAAAAACAGGTCAAATAACTTTTTTTGACCAAAATTGGTATTTATACAGTGTTATTGCAATTAAAGTAGGTAACTTATGTTAATATTACTGAAGGTTGGTTTAATTTTTTCTGAAAACATTGCATTTATTATATTACTGATATTTCTATCATACCTATTATATTATTGTTAATCATTTTTGAGTCAATACCACCCTACCGTAGAATAATGCGAATAGGTACATGGTAAATGTCATTGCATTAGTAAAATTTAAAACTGTTCAAGTCCCCACGAAGAATGTTTTTGAATTAGAACGAAAGAACACTAACATTGTTGTTCTTTGTTTGAATATCTAATTTTTTCCAAATTCAAACTTGAAACTTCTATAATAAAAAACGGAATTAATATATTTTTGGAAGTTGTTGGTTACAATATTAACTACTTATGAGAAACCTTGTTTTAAATTTTCAAATCTTAGAAGTAAAAAGAATAATTTGTGGCAAGTTTAATATTTGAAACAGACAATTTTTAATTTTAGCTTTTAGTTTTGAAGGCCTACTAGAGCTGGAGACCCGTGTGCATTCCACACCCAATTGTTGCGGCAATGGTAGCAAGTAGATAGTATTTTTTTATAAAGAACCAGCTACAGCTGCAGATTGATTCTAAGGGCCAGTTGTACCGTCTATGATTATGGTTAATCAGAGTTTAATCTACAGAATTTGCCCGTTTAAATATCTGTTATCCGCTGATTAAGCTTAATCATAGTTTAATCATAGAAGGTACAACTGGCCCTAATAGAATATTTACTATTATAATAACCCATTATTAGTTGTAAATTGTTAATATTATTGCTATTTGTTTAGTAGATTAAGCAGACATTACAGTCTACAACAATAATTTATTAAAATTTAGGTAGACAATATTAAACATTGTGTAATAACCATTAAATGATGGACTCTATGTGCAGATAGGAGATCCGAAAAATGGACAAAGCACACTGGTATCTAAGATTATAAAAAGTTGTCCATTAAATTGCTAGTTGTTTGTCATTGTGGTCGTTAATTTAAAAATGGTCACTGATTGAATATTATAATAAGTAGTAACATTGATTGAATATTATTTTCCCATAAACTTTTATGCAGTTATGAAAGTACAGAATACATAAACATTGTTATTTATCAATGCAAAAACTTAAACCATATTGTACATACAACTAGTTATGGATCATGGCTAATAAGTTAAGGTTATATGTACAAAATCTACGGTAGGTAACATTGATTATAGGATAGTCTTAATAAGATTTATTGTAGATATTCGATTACAGAATTTTTATATTGTATAAAATATAAATTATAATTATTTATTAGTAAGTAAATATTCAAATAAAGTTATTGATACCTAATTGTATAATGTAAAAGAAACATAATATATAGTTATAAAATTGATTAGGTTTACTTAATCAATGGTTATAATTAGAGCTCGTAAGTTTATGCCTTAAAAAATGCCTAGATAAGCAAGCACTTATGCACTAAAAACACAAAATATTCATAGAAATATGCATTTATTAAAACTATACACTAAATAAAATAAAAAATCATAAGTCATTTTTAAAGTAACAATAAATATCCATTCATATTTTTAAAAGTTTTATTTTTACTCATTTTATGTTGTGATAATTCCCATATATTTTTTACAGTGAAAAATTATAAATTATTGCATTTTTCATAAAATTTTGGTTTTCTCATGGTATTTCAGTAAGAAAATGCATGTTCGTATAATAATTTCAATAGGAATATCAAAATTATAAATAATTTACTCAACAAAATATATAAACGCATAAATATGCAAAATAAAACTTCACATACTTAACCATGGTACCTTCAAATGGATTACTATGTCATCTAGCATTAAATACAATTTTGCAATTTTGTTATGCAAATGCATTAACTTACAAGTCCTGATTATAATTATATAAATATAGAGGTACATTAATATATTAATATATTATGTACATTTTAGATATCATTCTAATTTCTAACACATTTATTATGCATGGTCCAAGGATCAGACCAAACATCCAACATAAACTGAACCTTCCCAACACAGAAAAACTATTCCCAAAACTAATATAGAAGTATAAAATGACAATTGAAAAAAAATACAAATAAAAATTGGAGGTTTTTATAAATTTTTTTTTAGTTATTTAAATACAACTTCAATTAAATATTATTTTAATTAGTTACACACAATATTGATCTGAATTGGTAATTATAACTCCAGTAATCAGTATTCAGTATATCAAATATAAATTATAAATTATAATATCAAATTATTGCGAAATGACAAATCTGGTCCTTCGTTTTTTTTTTATTTTGTTGCAATTTTCCGTTTACTGAATATAGCCTACACCAGAGGTTTCCAAACTGCGGTACGTCGGTAGGTACCCACGTCGGAACAGGATAGCATAGACCAGGGGTTACCAATTAATATTTTTGAAGTGCCACATTATGAATCTAGAAAGTGGAAATTTGTGGGGACCATCAAAATTGCTGACGTCGGTAAAAACCAATAAACAAAAATGAAAAATTACAACTTATAATATTAAAGGTTTTTACTTTTTTTTTTTTGTCTGCGGGCCGGATAAAATTTGTCCGCG